TGTATATATATATATATGTGTATATATGTTATTATATATAATATATATGTGTAAGTAATTATGAATACATACCAATTAATCAGTCATGCATTTTTCAGCTAAATTTGGTGAAATAAGTAGTGGCTGTAGTTTTAGGACTAAGATTTATTGTCCAAAACCTTCAGGAGTACTTGCCCTTTGAGTTGCACACAGGAGAAATTGAAGATGCTAGTGAAACTTCAAAATCATTCAAGAAAAATTATTTTAATATAGTATGATGTGAATGAATTCTTGAAACATGCTTACATGAATATAAATAAGTTAAATCAAAAAAATAGAGGTGCCTGAACTGCAGTATTTTATTTGGCACTGGGGAAATAGTTAACATTGCAGACCAATAGCTTGTAGGAGAGTTTAAATTCCAAGATGTACAGGTAGGTTAGAACTAATTTTAGCATTTTGGCTCAGTCCTTCTGGTGTTTAAAGTCTCTGCTGGCATTTTAGTGTCCACAAGGAGTAGAGGAAACTTTAAAATTGTGTGAAAAATAGATCGACAATGGTCAACAACATGTTACATTGTATGGATTTTAGTGATAAGTGAATCTACTGAAATTAGACTGATTGAGAGAGGTTATTATTTCTCCTGATCCATTTAAATGCTTCTTAATGGTTTTGAAGTACTGCAGTTTCATTTATAGGTTTAATAATCAAGCACAAACATAGGTATAGCAGATGAATTTCATCTCCTTTCTTGGCAAGGGAAGAAAAGTGATCCAGGAATAATTATATTTTGCTCACTTCCTGTACCTTAAGAGAAGTATGTAATACCCAGAGCACTTTAAATGGCTATTTTAAGCAATACAGAAACTTTAATGTCTAACTGCCTTAACTTAGTTTTCTCCTGCAACATAATCCTCAGTGGGGTGTTACCTACTCAAGTATTCTCTTTCTGTGTTGTTTTATTTCTCAGGATCTAGCTTTTTTGGTGCAAGTAGAAGCTGTCTAAAATCTAGCTAGATATTCAGAATGCAAGCATGCAATGAATTAAATTTTCTATTTTAAGTCTAATCATGTTAGACTGATCTTCCAGTTTGCTAATAGAGGCAATCCTACCCATTCGTCAGTGTATGGAAGTCCAATCATTTTAAGAAAAATAAGATTTAAAATACTAGAAATCTACAATAATTATGCATTTTCAGTCGTACATGTTATGGAAATACAGTATATGCAGTGTTATGAAAAGAAAAAATCACTCTCTTGGGTCCTTCAGTTTCTCAGGAAACATAGGCAACAATTTATTTGTAGATAAGGAAGTATTTTAGTGTAGTGACACGTCAACCACCAGCATTACTGATACTGGTACTGATACTGTTTAGGAGTAAGTGTACGTGTAAGTTGTGTACTCAGAGTTAAAATTCTATAATCAAAATTGCAAAAGCATCAGACTTGATTAAAGAATATTGAAGGGGACAAGAAGAGGATTTATTGCCCAATATTTGAAATCCACTTCACTTTCATTCACTTACGAAGTAGCTTTAAATCTTCCAGTGACAGATTCCCTCTGAAGAAAAAAACATCATTAACAGCTCCTATACTAAATTCTGGTTAATGTATCAGAGATATCCAGAGTAATTTCCACCAGATATTCCTTCATTGCCCAATGCACTTATAAATATAAGAAAAAAAAAAAAAAGTCAGTTACAAATCTCAGAAACCAATTAGGCATTGTAATAGGTTGGCTGAGTTAAAGCAGCTGAAGAATCCCGAGTCAGACTTGCACTGGGGCATTGAATTGTAACATTGCATGGAAAACAAGGCAATTGACCTCATTTCTCATCTCCCAGAAACTGTTGTTTAAAGGCATTAGCTTATTCACTTTCCTTCTCTGCTGTACCAGGCAAGGAGCAGGATTGTAGCAGCCTCAGAAGCACCACATTGCTAAAAGCTTTCCCTCCTTTCTGAGGAGCTTGATGGGGTTCTGTAAGGGTCACTGTCTCCTACAGTGGCCAGGGGATCTACAACTTTGGTGCTAAGCATCTTTTGGGGAGGCAGACCTGCAGCCTTCCTTTTGTGCCATGTGTGAAAAGTTCAGATAGTCTCTTCACTCCATCAGAAGAATTTCCACAATGGATTTTGTTGTTTGGTTTTCCACCCCTATCCCCCAGGGAGTCCTGCTCTTACCTCTCCAGTATAGCCCCTGCAAGAATCTGTACCAACTGTAATCCTTAAAATCATCTCCTACAGGTGAGAAATTCCTCAAACCTAGCTCATTTACTTCTGGATTTTTTTCAAAATACAGTTTTTCAGATAGCTTCTTTAAATTTTACAAGGTACAACCCACCTTGCCTCCCTTTGCAGGCTCTACCGCAGTACTGGATGTATGAAATTTATGTACAAGTTACGATTCAGTTTGCCTTTTGACTATTGAACAGAACAGTGAGTGTTCTGTTTTGTTTGCTGTGTTTCAAATATTTATTAACCAGAGAAACAGTTACATGTTTCTTGTGGCTTTCAGGCTCCAGGCAGGCCTGTTCTTTTCATTTTACAGACTACAAAGGAAAACAGATTATAGTGGCTTCAGATGAGATGCAGGACTCACACTAGATTTATGGCTCAGCATGGCAAACTTTCAGTCTGTCTCCAGTCTTATCGTGGAGATTTTTCAGGCCTGTCTTGGTGACCTTTTTGTATGCCATGCTGGATGGTGCATTTTCTCTGCCTTACTAGTATTGCAGCCTGCATTTTCTCTGAGCCATTACTATACCCTGTCCTGCTGATGTGTTCCTTAGCAATAACAACATCCACTGTAGACAATAATCCCACCGTGATACAATATGCTCTCTTACTGTCACGATAGCTGATTCTAAAGACATGTATCTCTAGAACAATATTCTTGTCCTACTAAAAAGCACACTCCATTTCAAATTATATTATTCTCTACATTTTTAACAATTAGACTCTGTTGTTCTTAATTCCATAGCCAGCATTCTGTTAAAAGGCAGAACACTTTATAATAGCCTCTTTAGTTTTCCTTTTATTACTCCACTGGCAAACTGCATCCTCAGTATTTCTCAGTCCTGGCCAATTTCCCCTTGAAGTTAAAGGGGAGATAATTTGGAGACTACAGCTATCAAATCAGACAGACATTTTTATTTGGAAAGCTATGAAACTTTGGCTAGCTTGCTGTTGTGACTGCAGTCCTAACAGCTGAGAGCATGTCCCAGTGGAGGAGTATAATTGTTTTCTGTCTAACCTAACAAAGGCCAGAGCTGGCACCTTTACAAGAAACTCATTTAATGAGCTAAATATGCTGAATTTAGCCTGTACTTCCTCAGTATACATGTGTGATAACAAAGGGATGGAATTTCTTCAGGGAAATTAAAGTGTAGGACTGTAGGGCATCGTATGGAGGTAAGCCTGCAGGCTTGCATTTGCTCTGCAGGGGCTCAAAACGTTTTTGCAAAGCTAGTAGCCTAGAAATAGGCTCTCGTAGGAGCCCAGGAATAAATATACCAAAACAAACCCCACAAACTTGAAGAAAAATTACCATAGGAATTCACTTGCCATTTAGATTAATGTCAAATTTGAAACTCACAGCTGTTTTTTCATTGATGTAAAACTGTACTAGAAAAAATATTTATACCAACCCCCCAATACCTCATTCATGCTTTATAAATCTTTCAACAGGTTTTCTTCCCCATACTCAATGAGGATTTAAAGTATTCTACCTATAACACCAAACTGGTCTTAGTCTTAATAGCCTCACTTTGGTCATGTGCACTAACCTTTTCCTCTTGCTTACGTTAAGTGTTCTTATGTGACAGTTTAAGCTCAAAGAATTTTACTTCTAGAAAACAAAGCCATGAGAAGGTTTCCCTAGCACCTGAACCAAGCATCCAAAGCTTGGTTCTATGGCTTCTATGCATGCCTAGCTGCACTGCATCTGCAAAGCAGAGCATGCACTTTAAACAGTGGCTTTTGGTCCTTTTGGAAGCGTCACGCCAATGCTGCAGCCTTTTCCTGTGCTGTTTGGTGAGACCACAGAGCATCCCAAGGCATGTGCCCTGGGTAGCAGCAGGTCAGATTTGCCAGCTCTGGAGGAGGACAAGTCAGCAGAACAGTCCTGAAACAGAGTGACATCAAATGTCACGTACGTGCAGTAGTGCAAGAGGGATGGGATCTTGAGAGCAGCAGATACGAGGTGAGCTGGGAAGGTGGGAAGCTTAATGAACTTGTTCTCAAAAGAGATGACACACACTCACCCACTCCTGTTTTCATGTTTAGTGAGACAACATTTTCAAGGGTTTCACTTTGAGACAACATTTTCAAGGGTTTTAGAAGTAATTACTTTCAATACAATAAATTACATTTAGATTGCTTTTAATCAATGAGAAATCAAATGACAGATGTAAACATTAGAGAGATCAAGGAAGCTATTACCAGTGTGATTTTAATTATTTACTTGACAAATCACTTCTGTAGGCAGTACCACCCCACTTCATGGATCCGACGGAAATTCAACCTCACTCCAATATTAACTGTTTCTGTTTTGTTCCAGAATTTAGCTTACGAAATCATTCTTACGCTAGGACAAGCATTTGAAGTGGCCTATCAGCTTGCACTACAAGCACGGAAAGGAGGCCATTCCTCAACCCTCCCAGAAAGCTTTGAAAACAAACCCTCTAAACCTATCCCTAAACCACGCGTTAGTATTCGGAAGTCAGTGGTAAGTAGAAGGTAGTTATGCATGCAAAAAAATACCCCAAATTCAGCCATATGGTTGAGAGTTAAGTGTACTAGAAGCTGTACACATAAAAATACCTCTTGAGTCAGAAATGCTCTGTCGTGCCACCTCTGCTCGTCAGGCAGCAGAGCTGTGTCACCACAGCACAGGCACAGCCGTTTAGAACAATTGCTTGTTTCAGACTCCTCCAGTTTAAGATGTTGCTTGCCTAGTGTTGTGTATATGTCTCTTACAGTAATTGCAGAGCTTTAATTGATGATTTGGTCTAAGCTCAGTTGTATACCTCTCAAACTCTGTGGTTCCGTGGACTTTCTTAATCACCTATCAGGAAATAAAATCTGCACTTAACTCGCTTGGTACACAATTACTGCATATGAATCTGAATCAAATTACAAATCCAAATCAATTTACAGATATCCCATCAGACCAAGCTACGTCTTTTGTTACCCTTTTGGGGTTTTTTTGATCCTCTCCAGACACTCCTATTCCAAAACTGGGATTTGGTATACCTTTTCAGCATTAATCTCAGACTCTCAAGAAATCAAGCTCATCAGAGCCTACATATTGGTTGTCTTTACAGTCCCTCCTGAAGCACAGAGATGAGAGAGAAATAGCCTTTTATGGTAGTGCTTTTAAAAAAATTATGAAAGCCATTTCAAATCAAGTGAGAATGTGGGCACAGGGTGATTTGGGAGGGAAAGGAGAAAAATGACCATGCACTGTATCATATTCACTGGTGATAAAGTTAGGACTGTACTGTATGATACTTAATTATTGGGTGAGAGGAAGGGGGAAAAAAGAAGTATGACTGTACACTTTGTCATCCATTGCCACAGAATATCCCTCCATAAAACATTTCCTGATGCCATCATCTGTCTCATTAGGAAACAGACTTCTCAGGATCAAGAGTGGCTTTATCGAACTATGATGTCCTATAGCCTGGGGGTAGACACAGCTCAGATCTCAACAGGAAGAAGAAAGCAGCCATGAGTACATGGGAGTGTAGACACCACCCTACTCGCTGCTGTAGGACTTTGTCGATTCAGGATTTGTTCTGTGTTCTGTTAGCTTAAAGAAAAAGCTTCTGCTCGAGCGGCTGTGCAGAGATGGTAACCCATCTGTATGTTTGTGTTTGTCTTAAAGCAAATAGATCCATCCGAACAAAAGACTCTTGCGAATCTACCGTGGATTGTTGAACCTGGACAAGAGGCCAAAAGAGGCATTAATACCAAGTATGAAACTACAATTTTCTGATCCAAAACTGTCCCCTTGTTCCTTGTTGTGCCTTGCACACCAAGCAGTCACAGCACAGCCTTTCCTTTATGGCAACGTTTCAATCCAGCAGAGAGGAAGACTGCACTGTATGAGTGGCCTTGTAACTAACAAAAAAGGCTGACAGTCATTTCTGGTGATGTCCTTCTTCCTGCAGCACTGACAGAAGAATGACACTATATGAAGACTTTTAAAATTACAGTCCACAAGAGGAGTGAGAAACCTTATTTTTCATGCAGTTCTCCCTTGTGACTCTGCCACAGTGCTTTCTTTGATTTCTTATTTTGGAATTCTACTTTTTAAAGAAAAAGAAAAAACAAAAGGTCTCTAAACTAATACTAATGCTGCCTATGAGTAGAGTATTTGATTGGGTTTTTTATTTAAATATTGGCAGTTTTTAATTGAAATAGAACCAGAATTAATAAATAGACTATTTGTGAAACCACTGAATTCATTAATAATTACTGTGTTGAATAAAAAACTCATTAAAGTGACAAGAAATTAGGCACCCTGATTTCTGTGTGCACTGATTTTATATGTAATCATTGATGTCCTTTGATCCTCTACAGAAATAAGAACCTCTTGCATTGTAGCAAAGGATCAGAGTTTTATGAACGGTTAGAAAAAGGTATTAATAATGCACAGAAAACATTTATTAGATATTTTTATGGAAGAGAAGTACTATAGGAAAACATATGACTATTTATGGAAGGAAGCCAGATTAATTATGAGAAATATTGTTTATTTTAAAGTTAAGGAAACGACTGCTATTGCAGCATTATGGAAACTATAAGAGTTGTAGCATCAGTGCACTGGATGTTCTGTGTGATCAGTCTGGAATGAAAGTGGAATGGTCATTCTACTACACCTACATATAGTTTATGCAGTTCAACATTGCTATAGCCATGAATTCTACTAGTATTTTTAAAAAGTAATCTCAGTGGTTATAAAAAAAATCAAAACCATGGATTTTGCTATCAAGATTTCTGTCACAGAAAGCTTGTTTGGAAGAGTGTTGATAAAATTCTACTGCAAAAGATTTTCTAAATAAAAATAGCAAGAAAAAGAAAAAAATTCCAAAGTAATAAAAATGTTTTCATGGAACAAAATAGTAAAGCATTTGGTTAATATTTGATTAAATAAGATTTACTTACTTTTTCTTTGAAGCGTTTTAATTTTTTTAATGTCTGTGGAGTATTTGTATAATACCATGATGTATATTTATGTAGAACTGAAATTATAACAGTACAAATATCATTATAGGAAAAAAATGACATTTTAACGTATATTGTTCTATCCAGTCAAATTGTGAATCATTTTGAAGTTCATTATAGAGGTATTGATAAATTGTGTGGTTGTCTTAATGTTTTTTTAATTATTATTTCATATCCAGCTGAGGTTTTTCAGTTAGAATCATCAGTTGGTATACTCCAAAAAATGGATAATTGAACTTGGTTTAAACCTGATAATTGTATATGGTTTAGTTAAACCTAATCATAGCGCTGAGTGATGACATCCTTTTAATACAGTATTCAATTTACTTGAACAAAATAGTTCCTTGTACATATTTTTGCCTATTCACTGTTGATATGTACTTAGTCAACTGACAGTAAAAAAAAAAATAACACTAAAAATATGGTACCAAAAGGAAAATTGTATAGGAGAACAGTAAATAGTAGCCTCACTGCAACAAATACTTATGTAAATATGCTTGGGCTTCCAGTTATAAATTTTGTAATTTTGTCATTTATTTATATCCTATAAAAGCACACAAAATAAAATGAAGTTGTACAGTCCCAGTGCTTTGTGCATCATTTCATCATTGCTAAAGGAAATAAGGGGCCTGATGCAAAGGATACTGAAAGCAGTGAAAGGTTCACCCCTCCCATTTCCCAGATTTTACTGGGCTCTGGATCTTGTCCCACACAAACCCAGGAATTGCTGTGGAGACGGTTTTGGTTTGGAATACAGATTTTGTTTACAGATGGTAAATACTTCACACTTTCAAGTCCTTAATTAACTGTTTCTTCCATGTACTACATAACTGCTGACTTCCCATATTTAATCGCACCCTTTAGAGACTCATGTAGGGAGCTATGGTAAAACACATTCACTTCAGGCACCAAAAGTACCAAGTGGCCAGGTTTTCAGGCTATAAAACTGGGCCACCTCTTATGCAGCTGAGTGACCCTTAAAACTGAAGGATGAGACAGGAACTGTGGCACAACTCTAAGCAGATGTAAAGAAAAGGTGTGAAACAACAGGAACAACTGGCACCTGGCAGGAGGAATTTGATCTAGGTTCATCAAAGAGATGTCAAGCAGGTAAGATGGCACAGTAAGAAGCTGAACCTGTTTGGGAGAGAAAATTGGGGCAAGGGAGACTAAGGATGACTAGCAAGACTGATAAAAGATGAGACAGATGAAAGACTGGTAGGGCACGGAATGAGTGTGAAGTTTTTGGGACACGGTGAGGCAGTGAACAACTGAAGCTCCTACAGCAGGCCTAACTTGAAACTGGAAGGAAAGATAAGAGACATAAGGCACTACTGTATTTGCAGAAACCTGGGATTTTAGAAGGAAACAGTTCCCTCACTAACTGATACTAGTGTTAGCTGGTTGGAGAGAAGTTCATAAGGTCCCCTATGGTGTGGGAGAGTGGTTCAGCCATGCTTTTTTTCAGGTCCAAAGAGACTTCTACAAATCTAATCCGAAGGAGTTATACCACTCGATTTTTAATCCTTTTTGGTTAAGGTGACTTTCCATTAAGTTCCTGGTATGCTGGAAGTGCGTAGGCAGTAAGGGGACATAGTCAGTCTTAACAGTGAAGGTAGGGAAAAAGCCAAAGATCTCCCTCAGAAAACAAGGAAAATTGCTATTCTTGACCTCTACTGAAGGTAAGAGGGAAGCAGAGCTAGTCAAGGAGGGTAAGTGAAGACATTTGAGCATTGGGGTGTTGTAAAACAAGAGTTAATTGCAACAACTGCCTTATAGTAGCAGAGTGGAGAACAGACAAAAGAAGAGAGGTGATATGGAAGTAGATTGCATTTGACATGAGAAGATAAGCAAATTGAAATCAAAATGAGGTAAGTGTGGGTGACAAAGGATTTTTGAGAATTATTTCGGTAGTGAGGTTTCTAATATGCTGTTGTGAATGGGTATTTTAGCTCACTCAAAGAATCACTGGCAAAGCTATCAGCAGAAGCAGGTTTAATAAAAAAGTGAAAGCACAACAAAGTTCATTGGCAAGGTTCACTCTACTAACTAGACAGCTAAAGAGGCACAGAGAAAACTTGGACTAAAATCTAAAATCAATCAATCTAAACAGAAAAATCACTCTAAAATTATCCATGGGAGGGTGGTGATGGGGAAAGGCTAAAGATGAAAAGGGATGAGGTAGATCCTCCTGTTGAGTCACAAGGCTCAGAGTGGACCCCCTTGCCAAACTTAGCCCTGGACTTGACTAATGGTTTAGGCCTAAAAGTTTTAACAGCACTTAATTGATAGTCTAATTTAAACAATTTAAGAAAAGATTCTATAGAATTTACAATGAGCACAACAGTAACTCAGAGGCCTAACTTACTTACAAATCTAATGTACTTAAGAATGTAAGAGAAGAACATTCATAGCACATTTGCTATAGCATATTCACACTTGTATGCACAAGGACCTAAAGAAGTATGTACCTGTGAAAAATTCCCTTCAAGTTCAGTGCAGTGCTCACGTTGGATGCTTCTGCATCTTCTCAAAGGGTGAAGGGTGAACCTCGAGTGGGACTATCAGCCCAGGATCCATCGCTGGGTTTTGCAATGGTCCTCCAAGTATAGCAAACTTGAGAGTTTGCTAGCTCTGAGAAGCATCCCACTTTGAGGGAGATTGCTGGTTGCAGCCTGCTGCAGTCCAGGAGAGCTCAAAGGGTCTCACTTAGGGCTGCTGCTTACAGGGTTGCAAGAGGCTTTCATCATAGCAATTTTTCACCCTGGCCACAATTCAGGTCGGTAAGTTTTTTTGAAAGTTCAATCACAAATATGTCATTCCACTTGGGTTGTTATTCAGGCAAGAAAAATAAGTTTCCAAAGCTGTTTGTTAAAAAAAAAAACAGGAGCACATTAGCCAACATAAGTTCCTGGGAGCAGACAGTGTTTCTGATAAGCTCAAGAGGAGCTTAGCTCAGCTGTTGTCAAGGCTGAGGCCTAACAAGAATTTCTGAGATCATAGTATGGACTGAGGTGGAAAGGGGCATGCACCCCCACCTCTGCAAGGTAAAAAAGCTGCTACTGGGAGAAGGCTTAAAACTGGAAAAACTGCCGAGGAAACAATGGGGAACTTCTGTATTTGTGGAGTTAGAGGGTTTCCTAAAGCAGATCTTGACACTGCATTTCAGATTGGACACGGCGACTTCTCCAAACTGGCCTGGTGTTTATTAAAAGCCAGAAGAGCCACTGCTCACAGCTGGCAGGAAGAAACACTCAGCATGTGCAGTTCTGGTATTCTGACAGTAAATTTGTAAAAGGCTGCTTGTCCTGCAGAACCACAAGGTTACACATGCCTTACATTTTGAAGCCACCGTCTCAGCATCAAAAACTAGCATGGCCATAGTGACCATTGGGAAGCAAGTTAGCAGGTTGTGAAGAAGGTTGTGTCTGTCCTTTGGAAAAGCAGCAGCATGCCAAACAACTAATAAACTTCCACATCCAACCATGAAATAGTTTATCTCTTGCATTCCAAATTAAATCAGGCAGTTTGTGCCACATGCAGAACTCTAATTTTGCCCTAGATTTCTTTCAATGTGTGCTGTTCAGCTGGTCTGCTTTACACTTCACTGGAGGATGATGTCTAAGACGTCATCAAGAAAACAGTCTAGAAATAGTAACTTCAAACTACAGCCCAAACATCAGTTGACTCTGGGGGAACTGCCATGGCAGCAACAAGCATGTAAGACAAGGCAATAGATCATAGGCAATATTTGGATATAGGCACTTATCTAAGATGGGGGGATATCTGTTGTCTCATGTTAAAGACCACCTAAAGAGAGTGGGAGAAAAAAGGACTTAATTTGCTGGAAAGGTTGTCAGGATTTTCAGCTCACTGGAAAGCACAGGGGGATAGTGCTCAGGCTTCTACTTGAAAGCTCTGTAATTGTTTAGTGCTCTATAACTCCTTTAGGTGAACCAACTTCTTTGCTAAACTGGCAAGCTGACCCTACTGCTATCAAGTCCATGCTGATACTAATCATATGCTGCTTCTAGTTAACTTTCACATCTATGAGCTGATAACACAAGAGAGACAGAGGTTGACCACAAGCTCAGCAAACTGAGACAAATACACAAGCTTCACTTGTCAGAGTTCACACTGGATTTAGATTTTGTGGAACTGGTGGATGAATTCCTTCCTACTGCCTAAAGAGTCACACTCATCCTTATTAGAAGCTTGAATGTCACCAGCCCAAACACTGCTGTCCTACTGAAGAGGCAGTAAAGGGAAAGCAGAGACATGGCCTATGGCTCTTGCCTTTCAGGAAGGCTATGCTCCAAATGCAGGAATGGGAAATGGCACCACCATCTGGCTCCCACTCTTGTAAAGACCACAGGCAAATTTCTCTACAGTCCTCCTTAACCTTTATGCAGTGCCACATCTTTCATCCTTCTGGGGAAGTCAGGTACTTAGATATACTTGAGAATGTGGGTCTGGGTAAAGTAACAATGAGGCACACAAAAATGCTATCAGTATGTAAATGAAACAAAATTCTCTCTTTCTCTCTCTTACCTTGACACCAAGAGCTTGGCTAATAAAACTTTTTCTATCAATCAGAAAAGCTGAATTCAAAACACTTTACAGCAACATAAGAAAAATGAAACTTACTGGAGATATTCAAGAAAGAGTGAGACAAAGGAAATATGCTCCAGTATAAAGAATACCCAATGAGCATTAACTTTATCCTATAGTGACACCATGAGGAAAAAAAGAAACAGACAACACTAATTTAAAAAATGCATTAGATACAGTGCAGTCTTCATTCTTCCAATTGTGATTATTGGATAATGATAATTGCTAAGCTGCAGAATTAAGGTCTTGAGCATGTCCTAAGCAAAAATATCCTAATGTATATAATTGGGGCTAGCACTACTTATTTCCTGAGTTTATATTGCAAAGAAGACTAATATTTTTTCTTCATCTTCCAGACTACATCAGTATATGAAAGTATCAGTGATGGATAAGTTGAACCGTTCTGCACTGGAATTGAGTGAATCTACAGAAACACAGAAGTGTCTGAGAATGCTGTGCATGAGTGGAGGTAAATGTGAACAGATGTTAGATCATTCACCATGATCATCTCTCCATCACAAC